ACAATTGCTCCAGAGAACAAAAAACCTGTGTGAGGATGAAATGTCCACATAGAAATAGAATAATACATGATTTTGATGACAGAGAAGTCTGGATCTCTAATTAGCAATCCTTTTACGTGCAACTGAGAATCAGATATATTTTAAATCACTTGATGAAGAGTTGAATGTAAGTGGAAAGTTTGTGTAATCTCTGAACAGCATAGATTGGTTCAGAAGAAAGTACTTCTCTACAGCATTAAGAGTCTGTCAAAGTTCTTAATAACGGAGAAACGTCTCTGTGAAACAACCCAAATTGTGAACAATGAAATGGTTCAATTAAGGAATCAGAATAAGATAACGTATTGTTGCAAAAAAGGTTTCAGTTTTCTAAAAGTCTGAACTGTAGCTTATGTGTTCTGCATCTTACTTGAGATGAGTATTGTTTCAAGGGACAGCTTTGCCTATTTTTGCATGAATCATCTCTCTTGTAAATCAGTTTTGCCAAAATCCACATGTTATACAAACATTATGAAATTGGCAATCATAAGATAAGCAAACCAGCCAGCAAACTAACCTAAAGCAACCAATGTAGGATAGAAACACAGTAATTCTTCTTGGAACTTTTACCAGTAGAATCTAAAGTGGTTGTGGAATAATTCTCCATACTGACACACTGCTACACTAGCTTCTCAGAAATTAAATTGAATTTCTGATTTGTGCAATGACTCTGCAAAATCACTAGCATAAAGTGGAAAGGAAGAAAAAAAATCAATGTTTGGGCAGATGGAGCATCTGCAAATACACTTTCGGTTTTCTTAGGACCATATAGCATTTCTTCTAACACTATCCAAGAGATTTTAAAAAATGCCCACAGCTGCAGATCACTCGGTAGCATTGGATATGGGTAAATGTGTTTAAGAAATTTGTGATCACAATGAGATTGTTTTGTCTTACAAGTGACTGACATGTAAACAATGAAAATCGTACTTCATTGAGAAATATTTTGAAGAGTTCAAAGGATCAGTTCTTTGTAGGGTGGTACAAAGAAGACATCTGAATGTCTTTTCCAGTGAGCTAGTCTCAGGTAAGCTGAGCTCAACTGAGTTAAATCTGAATACAGATAGAGCATCAAGATGAAGAGAAGATATCCTTCTTCTCTATTCTGTATTGGTCAGACTGAACCTAGAATACCATGTCCAGTTCTGAATATCCCATTTTGTGAAAGACACAGACAAACTGGAGCATGTCCAAAAAAGAACATTCAAGATGATAAAGAGGTTTTGGTGTGTTTAGTCCAGAGAACAGAAAACGGCACCTTCTTCTTCCCATGGGGATGATGTGTCCCCACCCACTTTGTGATCCTCAGCCCCCAAAACTGCCCACCTCTGACCTACATCAAGGCTCAATATACAGGTGTTATTTGCATCAATTAAAAAAATTGCCCAATCCTGCTTTAGAATGATTTTTTTGGATTATCTGATTTGCCAAAGCCTGAACAGAAGATTCTCTTACTTAAAGCACAGTGGCTTTATGGATCATCTTCATAGTATGAACATGCCTGGTTCTTTCTTTATCTTCTGAGACCCAATTACACATCCTACCTCTTAGATAGGTGAGCTTGGTGGGGACTCCAAGCAGAGCCTTTTGTATAGTCACATATACTAATGGACTTTTATCCTGGATAATGTTTCTCAACCTTGGCAACTTTAAGATGTGTGGACTTCAATTCCCAGAATTCCCCAGCTAGCCATGAGAAACACTGGTTTAGGATGTCTCTCTCCCCAAAGGCCTTGAAACAGCCAGTAAACTTCTCTTTTTTTATTGTTATATATCTATTTTGTTTTACTATTACATGGTTACATTTCTCAGAAATAATGTATTTCTAGCTTCATACCTCCATGGATTATCAATTAAGGCACAAGCTGTTCATTGCTAAAGCTCTGCTTTTTGCCTGAAAGATATAGAATGCAGATGCCATCTGAATGAATAATGGGGTTTTCTACCACATCCTACCAGACGGCCAGAGCTTTCAGCTTTCATTATCCTCCCATCTATGTGATCAAATTATTCTTTTACTTGAAGCTGCCTGAAAATCATTCTGATTTAATTCATTAGATGTATATCCTCCCTTCCTTCCAAGAGTGCAAGGTGGCACAAAGAACATTCTCTCCCTCAATCTTCCTCACAATCATAACCATTCTAGGAAGACTGGGCTGAAAGAAAGTTTCCCAGTTAGTTTCAATAATTGTAGGTGGATTCGAACCTGCCTTTCCCAGGTTCTGGTCCAGCTCCTTAACCTTTATACCTTAACCTCAGTGATAGGCCAGATTACATACTACAATGCAGTGTAGAGAAGGCATTTACAAGGGACTATTTAACATGCAACAGATACCACTAACCCTTGAGCTGAAAAAAATGTGTCTGACTGAATGCGTAATTGCTAAAGATCTCCTTGCACTCAGTTGAGTTCTTGGTGACCACACAGACGCATCTGTGTAGGTTTCTCGGTAAGAATGCAGAAGTGGTTTGCTATTGTCTTCTCAAGCAAATATACCAACATGGTGACTTGAATAATGCCAGCAACAATTATATCAAAAACAACACTTGGCAGTTGTGGAACACATTTCAAGTGTTCGAAGGACTGCTCAGCAAGGTTCACCAAAGCTTAGTAGAAGCATAAGAATGCTACTAAGTCTCTTATAGTCTGACCTGTCCAGTCCATGTTTCCAACAATAGTTAGCCAAATCATCTGGGAATTTCTGAAGCAAGACATGAAGATACCTACCCTTGGCCATTTTATGTCCCTAGTACTTGATATCCTGTCTCTGAACATGGAAGAGCCATTTCATTGTTTTATCAAATAGCTGTTGATAAACCAATTTTCCAACAATATTTTTCTGTTTGTCTTCTAAAACTAACGGAGCTCATACCAATCAATACATCCTGTGACAAGTTCCAAATATTTGTAATAAAACCTTGTGAATTAATGGTCTGCCTTTACACTAATGCTGCTCAATTTAGATGAGACAAAATTCTGCCTATTCAGGTCATTCATATTTATGCTTTCATCACATTTATAGATCTCCCCACGATAAACTATATAAACTATATATATTACACACAATGAACTTTTATCATATATCCACTAAAGATAACTCTTCTGGATCAGAATCTCATTAGGGTATATCTAAAAGCACCTTTTCTCTTTGGCCCCCAATACTTCTGTGTGCACTTTACTACACTGAATCATATTTGCTGTTCTGCTGGTCATTCACCCAGCTTGGAGAGACCCATTTGCAGTTTTTGGCTAGCTGCTTTAGATTTCACTTTAGAATTATTTAGTGACATTCACAAACTTGGCTATCTTACTGCTTAGGCCAACTACAAACATATTTTAGTAAGTTAAATGGCACCAGTTCTAATATAAATTCTAATATAAACTCTGTTCATGATGAAAACTTGTCCATTTACTCCCAAACTCTACTTCTGACTGCACAAAACAAACAGAGCTATTGTGGTGTCTTTTTCTTACGTTATACATATATTCAATCTTTCTTCCATTCAACCAACCCAAGGATCATGCCTAGGTTTACTTTCCCCAACTGATTTCTCATCTAGGTTCTGTCCAGAGATCTGTTTATACATGGCCCTTTAGCCTTAGGCCTAATTATAGAAACACTAACATAAACCTTGATGCATAATTTTTAATTACTTGAATAACAGTTAATCTAAAGCCACTCCACATGATAGGTATCAATCACATGAAATATAAAGGGGAAAGAGAACAATTTTTTGAAATATGATCCTTTTCTAGAGAAATGGGGTTGCTCATTTCTCTAGACTGCACTTCTATAAGGCTGGCGCATAACCCAATAATATTGCTCCCAGGTTCTGAAACAGCACTTCAGATTCGATCACAATAGCTGCAGGAAGAAAAGCATCACCCTGCCAAAGTCCCATTCATGGGTGCAGCTCAGTGCAGAGAGAGGGGAGATCTTTAAAAATAGCCGGGGGAAACCTCTTTCAGTAGCTGGCATGGTCTGGGGTTACCCTTAGCAACCTGTAAAGAATTCCAGGCTGAATTGCATTGTGAGAGCCAGCGGGGGCAGGGAAGAGACAGGAATCTGAGCACAAACCCAGGGGGCTGCACAATTTAGAGCAACAAGCAAGACAAACAAAGCCCATTGCACTGCATACCTTTTGCACAACACCTACCCATACACACTCAGGCTCTGCATACACCTGCTCCAAACAAAAAATGATCCGCTCTCTGTCCAGCATGTCTGCTCGAAAAAGGTCCAAAGACTGACTAACACGTTTATTAGAAGCCCAGCTCCATCTGCCTCATTACTTGCAATGCGTTTTCGAGAGCACATTCAAATGGCTGTTTTGATCTCTTGATCTTCCCAAAGTAATTATTTATATACGCAAAGTATGGCCAAGTTGTAGGCATTGACACTCTCCCCCTTCCAAATATTTCCCTTTCCTTTTGGCCTATTGCGCCCTGCAAGTCATCCACTGTAAAATAAACACTCATTACTTTTATGTCAAACCCTCCTCCAAGCGTAACAATCATGGTCTATCACAGCGTCCTTCTTACACACGTCCAGGCCTATAACCCAGTTATAACCCTGCCTACATTAACCTGGTTACTGACTTAACCCACTTGCCGGTTTGCACAAGCCAGCGAACCATACGCAAACGAAGCGAAGCCACCCAAACGCGCGCGCACCCAGCCTAGACAAAATTAAAACTGAAGCTTGGCCTGTTGTGTGAACGCAAGCACCAGGTTCGTACCTGACCTGGTTACTCCCGAGGTGGGGTCACAAGGCGGCCCAGCTGCACGCCGGCGGCTACGGCCCCCCCTCCTCCACTATTATGATTCCACGCCGGCAGCCGGGGTCCCCACAGATGCCACCGGAGCCTTGCACGGCTGTGGGTGCTCCCATTGTGCGCGTCCTCGATCTCCACACACGCCCAACACAAGACAGG